CAGCATCTCTAGCAGTGTCCGAATTTGACACTGCCAGAGCGCCAATCTGTAGTGCCACTTCACTGTCACTACTTGCCCCTCAATTGTTTTTGCAAACCATTGTCCCCACAGCGGTGATATTTTCTTCAGTCACTGTGGCCACCAGACATCCACTCCTCTCCTCGTCTTTCAGTGAAGTTCAGCCTTTTCTAAATTCTTGAAATCACCAAAAAATCGTCACATGAGGAGTAAGGTCCCCCCTAAGCCCACTGGAAATGCTCAAGGCTTTGAGACTTGTGTAACCCACTTTTAAAGATCAGAAAATTGCTGAGCACAGTGCCTCACGCCTATAATCCCAGCACTCTGGGAGGCCTAGGTGGGTGGATTGCTTGAGCTCAGGAATTTGAGACCAACCTGAGCAAGAGTGAGACTTCGTCCCTAAAAAGAGTCAGCTGCTGTGGCAAGTGCCTGTACTCCTAGCTACTCAGGAGGCCGAGGTAAGAGAATTGCTGAAGCCCAAGAGTTTGAGGTTGCTGTGAGCTATGCCGCCATGGCACTCTATACAGGCTGACAAAGTGAGACCAAAGAAAAAACATAGAAAATCATCAAGTGAAGTATGCTCTTCCTCGCTCCATAGCTGATGTCTACACAGACAGAAACAAATGAAGCCCTCCCAGCAATCCTGATTAGCTAAGCAAGTTGAAACCTGCATGGGTGAGTCAGACAGAACGCCGCTGCCAACTGTATTCTTGGAAGTGAAATAATGGACCACAACACAGTCTGTCTCAAAACTCTCACAACAACCTTTGTATGTATGGGGTATCGAAGGGGCCAGGTGGAGTCGGGGGCACAGTCAGAGAGAACTGAAGCCACTGGCAGGGCTGGGGTCGCCCAGGGAGAGTGAGCACGTCAAACAGGATGAGGTCCGGTGTGATCTTGAGGAACACCAGTGACACTCAGGACGGGGGCAAGGAAGGGTGTTAGCTCAGCTGAGGAGACTGAGAGAGAGGCGGGGGGAGCAGGGCAGGGAGAATGCAGTTTTGGGGACATGAAGGAGGCAGAAGTCCGGAATGTAAAATCCTGAGGAGGGACCGATCCAGATAAGACTGCGAATTCAGAGAGAAATTGACCTGAGGTTTCAGTAAGAGGCAGGGTGGGGAGGGTACCCTGTCTTTAAGTTCAGAAGGACGACAATGCCCACTGACCTTGCTATTTTAACACAGAACTGGAGTTCCTGGCTATTATGAAGGAAAAAAAGAAAAAGGAGAAGAGGAAAAAAAAATTAGAAGGAAGAAGAGAAAAACATCATTATTTTAATACGGTATACACATTCACAGAGTATCACCAGATTGATTTCCCAAAGAATCAGCATATTATTATAAGGAGAGTTTTATATGATTAATAGATAAAAGATCAACTTGGAAGAACTTTTCCATACTGGCAATAGTTAGAAAATTGAATAGAAAAATAAGGTGACTGTTAGGTTAGGCAGTTAGACACGGGCAGGGTGGATGGGGTAAGCTATTTTGCACAGGGTAGGATCAGGCTGGCCTGGGGCTCGTCACTCACTGAGACCTTGCAGGTGGGTTGTTTCAGGACCTGCTTTGTTTTGGGGGACTGAGTAATGTCCCTGGGGCTTTCTGATGAGGACAGATAGATTCCAGTTGTCATGGGAACATGCCATGGGAACAGAGTTGATCAAAACCATGGGAAATTTCCAAGAAGCAGATGACGCCCCTCAAAGTTGTGTCTAAAATCCAGCCCTGTGCTTTCCTTAGTTGCAGTCCCCAGGATTTGCAGTGCAAACTGTTAAAATAAACTTTTCCTTTCTTGCTAACTTTACTTGCTCTTGCTCTCTTAAATTATTTCAGCAACTACCTCCAGCCATCACTGTGCCACCCTAATATTCTGGTGAGCCAGCCTGGAGCAGCTCTTGTTTAGACTCTGGCACTGGGCCTGCTCACACCCGCCTGCTCTGCTCATTCACTCTGTTGACACAGTACCAGTCACCATTCTTCCACACTGAGAACCAAGAACCTGGAAAGGTAGGGACTTGACATCTGGTCCCACCCCTGGTATCAGTCACCATTCTTCAGTACTGGGAACCAAGAACCTGGAAAG